GTGGGTATAGTTGCATATATAGTAAAAATGTCAGCAAATACTTCGAGTATAGATGATTTAGTCATAACTGGACTGGACAACTACTGGGTTGCCATCCATTCAAGATCCATATAATACAATAGTGAAAACAATTACTGAATGTCCTAAGTGTGACAGATTGTAATTAAAAAAATATTAAATATTTTTCAAGATTATGAACTAAATCGTTAATTTGTTCTGAAGTTTTAATCTAATAGGCAGTTGATGAGGTGACGGTCGAGCCGTACACATTTTCGCAATACTATCATAAAAAGCAACATTTTTAACATCAGTTTATTAATTTTGAACAAAATTGAAGTATCGTAGATTTAGATGGTTATCTTAGGTCTTGAAATCAACTAAAAATCTAGAAATGTTTTTATATATGCGGTGTTTATATTTAATTTCTTTCATTATTTCGTATATCATTACGTTATGGTTTATTATTGAATTTAGTGACTATATTAATCAATTAAAGAGGTGTGCAATGATTTTAATTAGACATTACTGGATTATATCTTTGAAACTGATTTTTTGATTTTTTTTGAATATCAAAAATAATTCGGATTTTAATTTGAATTCTAGCTAAGGTTCTAAAGATCACTTAATACTTGAAATAAATAATTTTAACTTTATAATTCAGTTTATATAATTCTAGTAAATATTAGACAATGTCCTTCATTTCAAATTTGATTGTTTGAGTTTCGTTTATTAACTTATCTGTAAACATACATAAGTTACTATATTTTTAATAATCTATTTGAAAACATTAAATTTTCCTCGAATATTTCATTATGATATGGGAAGTACGAGCAATTTGCCTTAAGGCACTATGCCATACACGACTAGTTATATAAATGAATTTTTGTTTAAATATAATTATATCATATTAAATATAACTATCAATGCATCAGTATATATTTCATAGTTTATTATTATATATAATTTGGTGATTGAATTAATCAATTAGAAGGACATGATTAATTCAATCACTAATTTTATGTACTAGTCATATAATTAGTACCAAATTTTGTACTTTATTAACTTTCTGAAAGAGAAGTTTATGCTTTCATCAAAAAATCTGATTCGCAAATTTTATGTTTTCTCGACGTTACAAGCTATTCTGAATCGAATGAGACTGAATTAGATTTTGATTAGACGTTTTGATTTCAAAAATTTAAAAGCCATTCGATGTATCTTGATGAGGACAAGTGTTTATCAATTTTGCGCGACTATCAGCCCAGCCGTTTCTTTGTAAATAGTTTTGTAAATAGTTGTAATGTGATGAGTCAAACATTTTCAATTCACTAAAATTTGAAATAATAAGCTACAATTTTACAGGCACGTGTTTGTGCAATATAATTAATATCTTTACAGTTAATTTAAATGTGTTGAAAAATTTATTTTGAAAATGGCAATGTTTAGATTTAATTGATAGCGATAACTTTTTTTTGAAATAAATAGTTGAAAATGTTATCTACATATCTAAATCTCAATTTCTGTAGATTAGCTCAATTATTACACATTTTGGGTTGTACATGCAACTTGCTTTAAGGCTAAATGCCATTTTCAACTAGTTATGTAATTATGTTGACACAAAGAATTTGACTACATTTCATATCGAAGCCTACAACTTGCCTAATTTTGCTATTTTAAACAATTTCTCAAACCTTTAAATTTTATTACTTATATTAACTAGTATAACATTGTTTTATATGTTTTAGATCCAATACAGCATTCGCCTTGGAGCGAAAATTTTCCGAAATTTGGAAGTGTAAATCTCAGCCTCGACCTGATCGCTTCAAAAGGTGTCCTGGTTGGTAAGGTATAAATTAGTTAAATATAAGGTAAGGTATAAATTGTTAAATATATATTTCAAAAATATATTTTTATATCGAACAATAATACGATATTTATCGTGATGTATATATGACAAGAATTTATTAGAATATTTATTAGCTATAATTAATAAAGAAGCAATAATAAATCAATTAACTAATTTAGATTCTTACTGCCCGTTGAATTGTAAACATCTTAAACTTAATTTAATTCGTGTAGTTTTAATAGATGGCGAAATTTTTACCTCTTAATTTGAAGTAGGGGGAAGTTTCGTAACGCCGGGCGGCACCTAGCCTTGGACACTCTATTTAACAAGTATTATTTAAGCCAGTATATATCTTTTTATTTCAAAATACAAGTGAGGGGGCATGGGGGGCACACAGGATCACGCGTCAAGCCTCTCCTGTGACGCACACGGCCACGGCAGGAGCAACCCTTTGCTGTTTTAGACGCAAAATCGCGGCGTTACCTAAATATTAATGAAAGTAATTGTAGCATATTTATGCATTTACATTTGAGGGGTATGCAAAATTGAAAGTAGTACTTGATTGTTATTCTAAAATAATAGAATATTATTAGATCTTTTAAACAATTTTAGTAGGCGCCACAAAATGAACGAAAATGTCTATCCTTTAGCACCGGACACTAAGTCGTCCTTTAGTGCCGGACAGTAAACATATTGATATTTCTTGTGAGAATGTTTGTAATTTATTCCAATTATTTAATTTTGTTCTGTGTGAGTGCTAACGGTGACTACAAACGCCCATTTTTCGTATTTCCTAGTCAAAGAATGAAAAGTTTATGGCGAATGCACCAGCTGAGAGTATCGGTATGGCCCAGCCAAAATGGTGGATGAATAGTGATTTTTTTTGCAATATCTAAGAATATGCACACATGTGCAGACATTCCAGAGTGTGGAGATGGCTACATATCTGATCAATGCAGGTTATTTTGAAATGTCCGGTACTAGGTGCCACTTCATCAAATTATATTTTTTGTTACCAAAGTTTGATTGATAGTATTAAATATTTTTAGCAAATGTTGCGGTTTTGTTAATTTAGTATGATTTCTAACTTTGTTATCTAACAGAAGTCATAATTTAATAAACATTTCGTAAAATATATTTTTATTTATTTATAAATAACCTTAGGTGTCCGCCACTAGGAGACTTCCCTCTAAATCAAAATAAAGTAAGAGGTTAAATAATTTAATAATATGCTGCATTAAATTTGTTTTGAAATTATAAAGTTTCTACTCGTAAATTTGCGTTTCAAAATTAATCTTTATATCATTTGCTTGTGACTTTTTAATTTATGAATCCATGATAAAAATAGGGTTGGCAAATGATTTTATACAAGATCCTATTTTAATTTTAATTATTTGTAGAAAACTAAGTAGTTTAGTAATTACCCCAGTAGGTACGACTCATTGAATATTTTTTAATAATGGAATTTGTTCAACAAATAGCTATTTTATTGGATTTGTTTTTCCTATTAATCTTTAAATGTTAATTTTATCAATGAATTCAGCATTTTTAATATGTCCTAAATGTTCAGTTTGCCAGTTTAAATTATTTTTTATATCTGGTCAAAAATAAATGTGCCAAAAATTTATTCATTTCAAATAAATAAGTTTTAGCAATCGTTATTCTATATATATTTGGATTTTTTAGTGAAACTATTTGCAATTTTGAAAGTCAATAAAAATGTGATAATAATGTTATATATATAGGTAAATAATGATACTGTGTCACAAATTCTAATTGTTTCATGATATCAATAATGCACATATAATTATAGAAAAAGTCGCACTAAACTGTTTGGCGCGAGATGGAACTTTGATAGTCTTGTTAATGAAATCATTTCGAAATAGTTCGTATAATAATAAATTTTGTTAAGTTCTATTTTTATTGAATGATTTGTTAACTTTAAGATCTATATGACTATTTTGCTTCAAATAGTTCGGTGTGACTCTGTTAATTTTTTTAGATTAAGACGCTCAATGTAAATACAGCCTTGATTTATAATAGTTGAAATTAATGTAAATATTTAGACGCCCTGTAGACCTTGTAAATATTGCAAATAATAAAAACTTTTATAGTTTTATCTATAGAGGTAAACTTGAGATACAAGTTTCTTTTTGCGTTTAATTTAGATATTATCTCTTAAAGAAAGTGTTATCTTTTGAAGTAATATAATAAAGAATTTGATTATCTTTTATGCTCAGAATAATGAAATATAAACGTTTCCATAAATTATTTAAAGAAACGTTTTAACGTTTACGTATCGGAAAACATTTTAAATTCAAAAATTCAAAAATTATATTAAATGACTCTATGGTGTAAATTGGGAATACAGTCAACCCTCGGTTAACACGGCACTCTGGGTGCACGGTTCCCATATTACGCGGAGTTAAAAATCCGACTTCCCTCCGACTACACGGACTTCCTATTACACGGTTTTTGTTCAACTGCTCATAAGTTGCTTGCGCAACCTATGAGTGATTATAGGGACTTAATATCAAAAGGGTATTATATCAAGGATTTGCATCCGACCAGCCTCCCTGCCCTGTGGAATTGCCTTAACAAGTCCTGGAAAAACATACCTGCGCAAACATTGCAAAAACTTGTCGAAAGATTACCAAAAATATGCGCTGCAGTAATCAAAGCAAAGGGTGGTCATATTCTGGAAAATCGACTGCAGTGACATTTTAACATTTTCATTGCTAATTAGTCTATCATTTCTCACAAATTGGTTACAAATCAGTCACTAAATATAAATACTACGTAGAATGTACTAAACTAACTTGAATAGAATTATTTTTATATGAAAAATATAGCTAAAAACTCAGAAAATGAGAATTTTTTCATGTGTTCGGAAACTTTTGGCCTGTACTGTATATATATATATATATATATATATATATATATATATATATATATATATGATTTAGTAGTTAATTTTGATGTTGAAATATATGAGTGAGTTCTTGAGGGCGATACATCAAAAAAGAAAATTCTTTGTTTGATGTATCGCCCTCAAGAACTCACTCATATATATATATATATATATATATATATATATATATATAATTATTCACACCTTATTGCCCAGTACTATACATATTATTGAAATTACGAATACGAATAAAAATACATTAATTTTTATTAAATTCTATTCAACCAATTGACAAATTGGTTGGCAAATTAGTTGTTTCTTATGTACATTATATTAAAACATATTTTTTATAAATCAATATAAAATCAAATATTGTGTTTAAAGCACAGTAATTACACTAAAACTACATTAATAGATATTTTAGTATTTTTAAAATTATTTAAATTGTGCTTCACTTTCTTTCTTCATTTTTCGAACAGTCTCATACAATATAGTTAGAACAAATATTCAGCTAATTGTAGCAACATTTTGATGATGATTTTCCGCCTTTTCTTCATCATGAGGTAATTCCCATGCTGGAGAATCGTCGTGCCTATGTTCTTCTTCAACTTGAGCACAAGCATATTTCAGGACCACACCTGAAAATTATAATTTGGTATTATATAAATTGTGGATCATCATGCTGTTCATTTTCTTCAGAGTGTAAAGCTAATTATATGAGCGAAAACTTAGAAATTTGTGAAAAAACTGATATATTACAACTAAACAAACAAAACGTGCTAATTTTGAATTATAAATTACATATTTCATTATTCTTATGTTTCCAAAGATAGATTATCTTTAATATGATTGTATGAAGTGCTTATTAAATGTGTTAAAATAAATAAATACTGTACGATTATATGTTCATTGATTATTATATCAAAAATACGTTGAACGTATGTTCTTTGACATTTTTATTCTTTATATCTAACTTTCAATTTTTTTCATACATAAAAAATGAACATGGTTGAGTGATATTGAATAAAGAAAACAAATTGCATTCGTTAAAAATAATACTTTTGCCAGAAAAATTGTGTAAAACATTACGAAAAGCTACAGTGACCTTTATAATAATTAATAAATTAATAAAAATTATTAATGAACATTTAAAAGATTTTATTAAAAATGATTTTGATAGGGATTTCAGCAAATTGCTAATATAATTATGCATGCATCTATTTTCTAATTGAAGAACTGAAAAAGTAGTAGTTGATGATAACATTGTAAGATAACAAAAAAGTTTGGTTTAATATTATATATACAAATTTTTTACTACCCAAAACGCAATCAAATAATTTGAGTTCATAACTAATCTACACTCTGTCAAATAAAATCAGTTAATTTTGAAACTCGTGCTTTAACTAATGTTTTACCACATTTCTCTTGACAAAATTTAAATTCATTTCATTGGGTGTTAAAATATTTTGCAGATCTTCTTTATTATCTGCCTCTGGTAAAATCCACATAAGATCATCATCATGGAGATATTTATCCTCGACTTTCTCTGATATTAATTTTCGAATCAGTCCACCTGATATAATATGAATTAGGAAATTTGATTCAAGAATTGTAATTTGAGTAATTGTTACACGATTATAAAATTAATCCTAAATATGAGTTAAACAATTTATCTTTATTTTACTTCGTTTTTATCGATTTTGTTTGATAGTCTTAAATTTTATGGATCTTAGGTTGGGTTTTAGGAAAAGGGGGGGGGGGGTTGAAAAAAATCACGAAATATCACGAGGGGCAGGAAGGGGTAAAGTAAGATATCACGTGTATTTTTTACCTGATTATTATTTAAACAAAATCCAAAAATTTAGAACAAATTTAAATATCACATTTTTTCTTACTAGAGCAAACATCACATGTATTTTTAGTTACTACTAAAAAAATCCTTTAAAAAATCGATCACGCGATTAATAGACGCCCTCTTACTTTTGGGACTACTGATCAAAAAAACTTTTATCTACGTTTCAAAAATTAAGCTTAAGTATTTTTATATATTATTGGAAATTAATATTAATAATTACAAGGTCAATTAATATTTAATTTCTTTCAAAAAGCAAGAAATTCAATTTTATGAATCAGTGTGTGTGTATGTATGTTTGCATATAATGTTTTGTCCACGATTTCAGGGGCACGAGTCAACCGATTTGAATGATTCAAAAAGCATTCGATTCTTACTGATGAGAAGACGTACTGATTAGTTTTTGGTAAAGACAGGTATAGTCGTTTCGAAAATACGGGGCAAATAGTGCCAAAAACAGTAATTCGGTTTGTGAAAGAACGCAGTACCCGATTTAAATGATTCAAAAAACGTTTTACTTGTATTGACAAGATAAAGAATTGATGAAATGTTTGATAGGGCAGGTCTAGTGGTTTCGGAAATACAGAGCAAATAGTGATATTTGGCGGTCAAGAATGACCATTAGACAGATGCACATCAAATTATCATATATTTGATGAAGTTTTTAAAAATGAGTACTAATTTTGTTACATTTTTTTCGGTTCCGTACCAAGATTTTTTAATTAAATCGATAAAATTGTCACTGTATATTTTATGACCGATAAAATATTTAATGATTATATTTATCTGTTTGTAAATGTTCAAAAAAATTGGTATTAATCATTGATCAATAATTAATTATTACTAATTCTTTTCTCTCGGATATTTAATTCTGGTACGGGAAGTTCCAGCAATTTGCCCTGAGACATGATGCCATACACCACTAGTTTTATTTGATTTTACTGTTTTTATGAATTTTGTCTAAACATTGTAGCTTCAAATTCTATGAATTTATCGCGTCTAGATATGGAAGGAGATATTTGCCTATTATATATGATTTTTTCAAAAATATCTATAATATATTATGTATATCTCATTTAGGCAGAAAACATATATCTGTATGTACGTAGTTTATATTTATTTATATGTCATTATTATAATTGTCTTGGCTTTTCTCTAATAATTTTTAAGGCATTTTATAAATATAATTTAAAATCAATTCTATTTCTTACATAACTGTGGACGTTTATCATCCAATAATCTCTCAAGTATTTTTGACTTCTATTATTGACCTCAATTTTCTTGTTTATTTATCATATGAAACTAGGTTTTCCATATATTCATATTGAATGGGGAAAAGTATTCAATTGCTATTTTTAGCTAACGTGAGGGTTCAGTTTAGAACATTTGTTGCCAAGTAATTTGATTTTATTATAGGGTGTAATCGACATCAAAATAATTGAATAAGAGGTTTAACTTGCCTGTTACAAGTCCACTGACGATGGCGATTAATACTGTTAGACCCAAAGCCAGTAATTGATAGCCCGCCTGAGTAGTTCCGGATCGGACCATGGCGATCTGGAAATTAATGTATTAAGTCGTATTATATGAGGAAATTCTCTACACTAGATAATAAATCTCAGGAAATGCATGAGAGAATGCAAATCTTCACACATTTTTAATTTGGTAAATTTACTTTGTTTAATATAAATAACAATATAAACTCCTCTTTCAACTTATACTTACAGTAACTCCATTATCAATGGTTTCTGTAGATTCGGCAGATGTTCCGTTTAGTTGTTGCATTGCCGGAAAAATACTATATAAGGAATTGGAATATTCATCTTTTGTCGCAATTGCAGCAAAAACTGCACTCAAAACCCCTGATAATACCGCAGGCATACCGTGAAGGTTGTGCACACCACACGTATCTTGTATGCGCAATTTTCTGGAAATTATTGGCTGCGAGAAAAAATAAAATTAATATATTTTTTTGTATGAAGTTTATTTAAACAAGTAAATTTTATATTGTTATCTGCAATCGGTTTCATATGGAACAAGTATCCTGGGATTACAGATTAGATTTTTTTCGAAAAAGCAGGGTACGGTTGTGCCAGGATACGGTAGTGATGGTCAGCATGACAGCGAAACTATATCGATTTTTACATAGGGTCCAAAGGGAGAAAGATGAAGTATGTTTGTTTGAACATGTTCCTATTATTGCATTTAGTCAGCGCCCTACATTAACATGATCTATAGACCGAATTAATATTAAATGACCTGTAGACCGAATTAATTTTAAAGAGCAAAAAGTAAGTTTTCATATTTGAATTCTTTAAATAATAATTGTTACTTGTGTACAGATAGATCACCTTATTTATTATTTTCCTGTAAGTTAACAGCATTTACTTTTGTTTTATGTGACATAGAAATACACTGTGAAATTTGAACAGAAAAAGAAAATACTAACTTTTCTAAACAAAATACGAAGGAGAAAAGGAAAGTGAAATTCAATACAAGAAAACAAAATATTTCACAAAAAAATCTTGTTTAGAAAATTATGGTTTGCTTTATTTTATTAAATATAATATTTTTAAGCTTTTTTAAATGTTTATGTTGTGTTGCGTTGAATATTTTTGATCAAAACAGTCGTTATAAATCATTTTGGTATTTGTAATACTATTTTTTAACCCTGAAGACCCTCTTGGGTATGTGTCCTATTGTGACACTCACCCTTTTTTGTATAATTTTATGACTAATGTATTTAATAATTATCGTATTTATAGACCGTATTCCAGTATTTTCTCAAAAATAAATTTTCAAATTACCAATTATTAACTTCCATATGGTAAGTTATTGTAATCGCAAAATATCGACAATTTGTATATAGCTTTATATTTCAGATGGATGGATGTGTGTGTGTGTATTCGGATACAAATTTTCGTCGACGATTTTGGGAACACCATTCAACTGATTTGAATGATTAAAAAAACATTCGATTTTTATTGATAAGGTGACGTGCTGATTTGTTTTTGGACAAGGCAAATAGTAAGTAGCCGTTTTAAAGATACAGGGAAAGTAGTAACATTTTTCTCAAAAAAGTTTTTTATATTATAAAAATTCCATTTTTTTTTCAAAAATTTAATAATTCTCAAAAATTTATTGTTTTCAATGTTTAAAGAAAATCTTTAACGGAAAGTTTCAGCAATTTGCCTTAAGGCACGTTGCCATTGAAAAATTCAAGAAAAACTGAAAAATCTCCAGAAAATTATATGAACACAATTAACCATTTATATATCATTTTATTTTGCATCTTTTGAACTAACAAACTTTTTTAGTATATTTTACTGTTTAAGAGAAAATCAAGAAAAACTGGTAAGAATTTGTACTGTAAAATTAGAAAATTAAAAATATATATATATATATATATATATATATATATAACTAAACTATATACAAATTTGTTTCATATTCATTGAGATCTATAAAAATCAATAAATACATATTGTAATATAATAGTTTAAAAAAAACATTAATTTTACTTTTTCCCTGCTAACTGGTAAATTGACAAAATTATTGCTGATAAAAGAAAAGTGGCACAACCGTATCGAGTCTTTCCTACTACTTGGAATAAATCCAATATAAAAAATCCAAAACAATCAGAAGAATTTTGTAATTTAAAATATCTATCACTCGGACAAGTTTTAATATTTTTTTTGAGTGTAACATATAGTTATCAGTATGGTACACTATGCATAATCTGGTATCTGAAAATCTTAATTTGATAAATTAACAAAATTATTGCTGATAAAAGATAAGTGGAGCAACTGTATCCAGTCTTCCCTATTACTTGGAAGAAATCCAATATAAAAAATCCTTCTGACGTAGACAATCAGAAGAATTTTGTACTTTGAAATATCTATTATTCGGACAAGTTTTAATTTTTTTTGTAGTGTAAATTATAGTTATCAGTATGGTAGACTATGCATAATCTGGTATCTAAAAATCTAAATTTGATCAACAACAACGCACAACAATGGCGTTTAATTGAACAATGCAATTACATTGCAATGTTTACAATTACAATGCCGATATGTTTTATCGAAATAAACAATAGCTATATAACAATTCGAAATTACCGTTAAATATTCATATCCCAGCACGCTTAGAATTCCGGCAAGCGTTCCGGTAACCATGGCGCCGAACGGGTGAATAATCAGGTTACAAATGGAGCCCACGGCGACGCCGCCGGCCAACGTTGAATTCTGGATGTGGACCTGCAAACGAAAATCGCTTTTGAATTCAAGCTTTACCCTCGGAGCAATATCGTAGATTGCATTTTCATATCAAACGAAACACGGAAGGCAGTGTTTACTTTTTAAATTTTCGATATTTTTCATTTGTGTACAAATTTACAAGCTGTGAGAATGGACCAGTAGACCAACAGATAGTTTTGTAGATCAGTTGTCAGTTCTCTAAAATAATGCAGTTTGCTGTTCTACATTCATTTTGTTTTATATATAAATCTAGATGCTGGAAGCAATTTTAACGTTATTTTTTCACGCTATGTTAATGCATTTGATTTAACAATAACTTTATTCTATTATTAAATTTATAAAAAATAATATGGGGTGCGTACATATTTGTGGTCAATGGAAATATTGAATAACTTGGACAATATTCAATAAATTTTGATAAACCTTTTTTATTATCAAATTTAAAACCTTATAATTTTGGCCAGCCAGGTTTACAAAAAGACTTTACTGCACGCAATCGGTTGAAATCTGTCAAAATTATTCGATGTTTTCATTGACCACATATTAATGGTGCACCCTGTAAGTTTCTTAAATGATATATGTAGGTCTGCTATAAATCAGCAAAATATTTGTGTCACTTATATATATATATATATATATATATATATATATATACGAATACTATGCAGATGGCGTAAGAATTTACTTAATGACATATGTTAATAACAAATATAAGAGACTTTCAATTGGCGTGCGCTCTATTTAAATGTTTATATTAAGAGCTAATACTATTAGAGATTCATTTTTTATTTATTTGGAAGCATTGGCGCCCTTGGGAGCAAAGAAATTGGAAAATTACCTTGTTAAGGACCCCCCTAATATATATATATATATATATATATATATATATATATATATAATTAAATCTAAAATGTGATAGCTTTTCCATTTTGATTGATGACTTATGCGAGAAGAGGAGAAATATAGGGAACTGAAAGCCGAAACACAGAACCAGGCAGCATAGAAGGAAGCAAAATGCACAAAAGTGTATAAAATAATAAATGAATAGTGGTAAAGAAATAGTACTGGGTAAAATAAACAAGGGAGAGAAGAAAATCATTGAATTATGGTGCTCTCACACCATGGACCTGTCTTTTGGCAGACTACTAATCATTATATTTTTATACTGAATTATCACGTAGTGTAGTTTCAATTCAATTCAACAAAAATATGTCATTAACTACAAGATCCAAACATACAATCAAGATAGAAAATCATATGGTGAAAAATCATGGTAAAATCCTAAAACTTTACAAATTCTAAATTAATCTCTCTCTGTCTTAATTTATATACTTTTTATATGCTTCAATGACACCTAAACAAGATAGAAATAAATAGGTATGATACGTTTTACAAATAATATACTACTACAAAATTCATAACTGTTTTCAAAGTTAGAAGGTAGATGATGATTTAACCAACATCTTATGCATATTTTATTATCGGATCGTTTTAAAACTGCATATCATTAAAGAATAACTATATAATTTGGCTAATTGCTATTGGCTTATTGGCGGTATTGATCGAAACTGGAAGTCAATTGGATTTAGATTGTGTGATATATGTAATAATAGTTATGTATCTTTAGTCAAAAAGTTCGGTTTCAGAATAAATTTTATACATTTTTCCTGGATTTAAGATAAAAAATCTGGTTAAAAATTCCAGTAACGAATAAAAATGTAAGAAACACTTCGAAATAAATTTAGATATATTCACTGAATCATGACCTGCAAAAAAAAACTGGTGAAGATAAAATAAATTCTATAGCTTCAAGTTAAAAAAGAAATTGCATTACATCTATCACAATTTAAACAGAAGTTTCATGATATTTAGAATAGTTGCCACTTAGACTTGCATCAGCACAATCTTTTACATTTATTTCAAACTAGAAGTACAAGTTCGTTTATAATATCAAAAAAGCGTCAAAAATTTGAGCGATTCATAATAAATGCATGTGAAGTAGAAATTTTTTCTTCAGGTTTCAGTGCTATTGTGTAATAATTGTTAAATGTATTTCTTTAATATTTTTTTTATTTCTTAACTGCAATCAAGATACAATACCTCAAGTCTAATATTATGTGGTAGTAAGTAATAAGTAATAAGTCCAATTCCTTCAAGCAAAACACGGCTGATATAAAGTTGACAATTAATTATATACTTGGTTACAAAAATAAATCTTTATTTCTTTAATTTTACAATATGTTTATAATATACAAAATAAAATCCCGACTGGCAAGAGTACTGGTCAATTTCATATATAATAATGATATCAGTGTATCAATCCCGCCTCTTATATTCTTGTAACGACTTGCTTGCGGTCGTATGCAGTCGTATGCAGTCGTTTGCAGTCGTATGTAGTCGTCTGCAGTCGTATGCAGTCGTCTGCAGTCGTATGCAGTCGTATGTAGTTCTATTTGACTCAATGGAGAAAAGTTTCGTATTTCTTGAATTGAGATAAATCACGATAGATGGCTCTGTGATAGCACAGAATGACTACCATATTATTATATTTTCTAGGGTGACTACTATCTTTAAACCAACAAGGCGGAAAGCGGATATGAAGTTGGATATGAAACGATTGATGAGCGTGTTATATATGAAGTGAAAAATATACATTATTAGTGAAAGACATAGAGAATCACACAATCCAGCGATATTGCAGTAGCAGTTACACAAGTGAGACATATTTTATTTTCTTAATAGCAAATTTATTATTTGAAAATGCTTCATGTTCGGTCTATATTTATCTCATATATTTTAAATGCATCTAATTCTATTTTCTCACATCTTATATTATAATCTTACCATGTCGAACTTCTTGGCGTGCGTAACCGCCGCCGATATGCAGAACGCCGTGACGGTGGCGGCAGCTAGCGATAAATATGTATTGATAACCGCGCGGTGTTGTCCCTCACCTGATATGAATGCTGAGTTGAAACTTGGCCAAAACAGCCACAGGAAAAGCGTTCCTGCAGGAAAAACATATAAGCTTAAGATAAGTCATTGATATTAATCAGATTTACAAGAAGAAATATTGTTCTTTGTTTTGTTATACGATACTTTGCATTAAAAGTCATATGTGGTCGATTACATGCACCACAATTATATCTTCAACGTTTTTTTCCATTTTTTTTAACTTCCCGAAGGAGAAGTTTATGTTTTCATCAAAAAATCCGATTCGCTAATTTTATGTTTTCTCGACGTTTCAAGCCATTCTGAATCGAATGAGACCAAATTTGGAAAAAGTATGTGTGTGTGTGTGTGTGTGTGTGTGTATGTGAACAGATTTTTTGCCGTAAATCGACGTTTTCTCGAAAACGGCTGGGTCGATTTCAAAAATTTAAAAGCCATTCGATGTATCTCGACGAGAACTATTGTTTGTCAGTTTTGTGCGACGATCGGCCAAGCCGTTTCTTTATAAATGGCAGAAAAGTGAAAAATTTTTCGTCTACGTTTTAGCCCGCAATTCTGAATCGATTTTGAAAATTCAAAAACCGTTCGAAAGATATTGGTTGGGAATCGTGCTGATTAGTTTTTGGTAGAGATCGGCCGGGCCGTTTTCTTGTAATAAAGTTTAAAAAAAAAAAAATTCGTCGATTTTTATGATTATTTTTTTGACGATAGATACCATAGTCTTCTAGATCATACTAAAATATTACGGCCCTACGACAACTGGTTCAGCTTTAAAAATTCGTCAAAGTTTGCAAAAATCAGTATGGTCTTTTTGGCATTTGTCAAAATTAGACTTTTGATCGACGTTTTCTCAAAAACGCCTGAACCGATTTTAGAAATTTAAAAACCATTTGATGTATTTCGGTGAGGACTATCGTTTGCCAGTTTTGTGCAACGATCTGACAAGCGGTTTCTTCGAAATTCGAAAAAAATGTGTTGAACTTCTCATCCTACCGAACCGATTTTAAAAAATCAAAAACTGTTCGAAAGATATTAGTTGGGAATGATACTGATTAATTTTAGGTGAAAATCTACCGAGCCGTTTTCTTGTAATTAACTGTTGAAAAAAAGTGTTAAATTTTCGTCGACATTTAAGCTCATCCTACCGAACCGATTTTAAAAAATCAAAAACTGTTTGAAAGATATTAGTTGGGAATGATACTGATTAATTTTAGGTGAGAATCTACTGAGCCGTTTTCTTGTAATTAACTGTTGAAAAAAAGTGTTAAATTTTCGTCGACATTTAAGCTCATCCTACCGAACCGATTTTAAAAAATCAAAAACTGTTCGAAAGATATTAGTTGGGAATGGTACTGATTAATTTTGGCGATATACATCATCGTCTTATAGAACTTACTGTAATATTACGGCCTTACGACAAGTAGTTTAATTTTACAAATTCGTCAAAGTTTGCTAAAATTATTATCGTTTTTTTTAAAGTAGGATTGATGAAGTATATTATTTACACATTTTTTTTATTAAGTCGATTATTTACACATATCGGGAAGTTCTTGTAACTTGCCTCAAGGCTAAATACCAAACCAACTAGTTCTTTTTTTTTCTTATCAAAAATACTTTACCAAATACTTTATCAAATCAAGTACATATTAATATCCGGTTTCCGAGTGGAAAGGGTTAATATATACAAATATAATAATTAAATGTTAACAATTATTAACAAACATATTTCTATTCTGTCTAGGCACCAATATTTTTGTATTTTATTTAATTATATGAAATATAGTTTAAGTATTTAGTATATTATAACCCTTTCCACTAAGATGCCGCCCCTACTGCGATATGTTATGCATTACTTTAGCAATGCGCAAATGGAAAAAGTTAATAATTTAATTTATCTGGGATGCAAATTTTTTATTTGTAATATGTGATCTTTTGGGTGAATGGAAAGTTTTTGTGTACTTAATTTAATTATACGTTTCACATCCTTTTTACGATCGAACATTAAGTCCTTTGCGAATAGACAATAAAATTTTAAATTTACAACCAATCTTCGAAATATTTACCGCTGAACATACGAAATTTATTACACATAATTATTATGATACTTTGAATTTTTAATAAGCAACTCGTATAATTTTGACTTGATGATGGTGCACGTGTTTTAAATAAAACTTCATTTTTTGATTGGTAACTCGTGTATCTTTAATTTGAAGATGCTCCACGTGTTTTAAATAAAATTTCTGTGAAGTGTGATTAACTTACCAATCATGGCGAACATATCAGAATTATAGCTGGGTCCTTCTAATTTTGATGGAACTGTTTTCGATGGTCGTAACATGAAACTTACTGCTAATCCAAAGTATGCTCCAAATGCATGGACAACTATTGAACCACCTGCATCAGTAATCTGTAAAAATATTATATATTAACATATTACAATAGTGTAAGATACTTTTTTTATTATTTTGAACAGGAATCAGAACTAAAAAGTTCTATAAAATATTGTGCTATTTTGACATAATACAACGTCGGTTTAACAGATGAGAACCAAAACAGTTGTCTCATTTTCATATCCACCAATGCCAGATGAAGGCTATTTTTACTTGGGAACCTATTGCTATCTATATTTTCAAGTAAAAACCTATGTCACTACTGCTTGATATCAGGCTTCTCGAAGCGGGATCGAATCCGAGACCTCTGATGAGGTCCAGTCGCTCTAGCTTCGAGTGAGCTCAAAAAACTCTTATTAATATAATCAATTTCTGGTAACCGAGTAAAACACTGAAGATATGATATTTATAAAAAAGCTGATTATTTTCTTCAATTTTATTTTCAATTTGAAAGTACAATTCTGCCGGTTAATAATAGAAAATATTAAAAAGAAATGAAGTGATCAAATTGAAGAATTGTATATTATTAGAATAAAATTTATAAAAAAAACTATCTATGGCGGACCCTGTATAATTGATGGGTCTTGCTAATTAACTTCCCGTAGGGTAAGTTATAGTAATTGCAAAAAAATCGAAAATAATTTTTTTTAAATACTTTTACGTTTCAGAACATTTTGATATACCTTAGAAAAAATGGATGTATGTGTGTGTGTGTGCGGATATAAATTTTTGTCGACGATTTCGGGAACACGTTTTAACCGATTTTAATTACTCAAAAAACATTCGATTGCTGTTGATAAGGAGATGTTCTGATTAGCTTTTAGCACAGGCAGGTCTAGCCGTTCCAAAGATACGGGGCAAAAAGAGTCACAAACGGTAACTCAGTACCTAAGAGAACGGAGCGTCCGATTTTGATAATTCAAAACGTTTTACTTGTATTGGCAAGATGAAGAACTGATTAAATTTTTATGAAGGCAGGTCTAGCGGTTTTGAAGATCTAGTGAAAAAAGTAAAAAAAATGCCATTTGATGGTCAAAAATGATCATTAGACATATGCACATCAAATTATCAGATATTTTATAGAGATTTTAACTTTAAGTTGATCCGTTCGACGGCGACGCGGCGCTTACGCGCTTCGATATTTCGTCTCCATGCAGTTAAAGCAGTGCGATTGCTTTGAAAAAAAGTTCAGAATTTTCAAAATATTTCAAAATAAAGAAAACATTTTTTTTTCATAGTCTTTTTTTTTCAAAAAAGTAAATTTTTGACACAAATTTATAGTTTCTCAAAAATCTAATTTATTCAAAGAAATTTTTTTCAAGAATGTTAATCTTTTTAAGAAAAATATTTTTGTAACGGGAAGTTCCAGCAATTTGCCTTAAGGCACAATGCCATCGGCCCCACTATACAATTCTTCTTTTTGATTTTGATTAGTTCATTTTTTTAATTTTTTTCCATTATTAACCGGCAGAATTTTACTTTTAAATTAAAAATAAAATTGAAGAAAATAATCAGCTTTTTATAAATATCATGCCTACAGTGTTTTAATCGGTTATCAGAAATTAATTATATTAATAAGAGTTTTTTGGGCTCACTCGTGACTGGACCTCATCAGAAGTCTCGGGTTCGATCCCACTAGTTTTATATTTTTGGAATAAACAAGTTCCAAATTGTTAGTGTATTATACTTAGATTTCATTAAATCATTGTATTAGTATAGAAATTCTGTAAACGTTTATTTGATACTTTAAGAAGTTATATTTCTACAATCGAATAAGATCAGAATATTTTATTGCACCCATTATGAATAAATTATCACACCTTTAGAAAAGTTATATATAGAACCTAATTCCAAAACACGATGTTTATTATTTAACGCAACGCTTTCTTATTTAATTATCCTCAAAATTTAATTATCACCAAGGCGTTATATATAAAATTTATGATCATCACATAAATTATTTAACTTAATTTTCTAAAGAATAATTATATTTCATCATAACAATTTGCATAATATTTTCATTATCTCGTGGGCGTAAGTGATTCAGGTTCATTTCGGAATACTTTACGGTAATGAGCACATGATTAGGTAAACAAAACTCTAGAAAGATAAATATTAATAAAGACGAAGCGAGTAGATGGAATCGTGTTTTTACCTGAAACACCTCGACCTGAAGATATTCATTAGCCGAGAAAATTAGAATTTCAATAAAACCCATGAGCAGCAGTTGCACCCACGTCGTCCGTCCGAGCAACGCCCCCATCGATATTAGGACGCTGGCAGCTGCTACGTCCGCACCGATTAAGTCTCGTAAACCTAATCTGGAAATAGTAAAAGACACGTTGGTTGGCATAAAATATTAAATTTTTGGTATGAAATTTTTGATAGTGGTGGAGAATTATAATGTTATTAATTTTCTGTCAAGAATATTAAATAACTAGTGGTGCATAGCATTGTGCCTTATGGAAAATTGCTGGAACTTTTTGTACCGATCTCTATATTATTCGTAGTTTCTATAAATCTTTGAAGTTATTGAAATGGAAAGTATTTTTTAGGCAAAACAGATATTACAGCTGATCAAAAAATGAGATTATATAGCCAGCGAAAAAATAAAAAACATACCATCAGTCAATGAATGTATGTTAATTTTAATTACATGAAGTTCTTCAAACATAATTACATGATGAGTAAAGTTGCGAAAACAATATTTGTTTAGGCGTTATTTAACATAATCCACTGTGTGGACGAATATTGTAGAAGTTATTAATCAGCAATCACTTCATTTCTCTAATGAAGGTTCATTTCTAAATGCTAATTACAATTATTTTTTTTAATTACATTATTTTAACTTTAATTACATTATTGTTTTTAAATATTATACATATTATTAATGATATTATGCATATATAATTTATAACTTTCATTATATAAATGTGTATAATGGTTTACACTAATAAATGTGTGCATCACGAGTGTTACTATATAACTAATAATTATTAATCAAAATTGTTATAAGATGTATTTATTTTTACTTAAATGCCATCTTGTACAGTAGCAAATAAGTTTTACTTCATTTGCGTGTAAACCTTACGAGCACTCTTTTTTTAAAACTCTTAAAAATTGATTTTTGAAAATTGAAAATTTAAATTTAAATATTTTGAACATTGGTGCGGAATTCTTAGAAATGTAAACAAATTCTGTACTTTTTATTAAAATTTTTATAAAATATCTGATAATTTGATGTGCATATGCCTAATGATCAATTTTGAACGCTAAATGGCATTTGTTTTACTTTTTATATTGGATTTCCAAAACTGCTGGACCTGCCTTTACACAAATTTAATCTGTTTTGTCAATACAAATAAATGTAATTTGAATCATTCAAATTGGACGCTTCGTTCTTCCAAAAACTGAATTACCATTTTTCGACCTTTTTGCTCCGTTTCTTTTAAACGGCTGGACTGAATTAATACAAATCAAATGTTTTTTAAATTATTCAAATCGGTTGATATTTGATCTTGAAATCGTCTACAAAAATTTGTATCCGCACATACAAACACGCACATGCACAAATACATCAAATTTTTCCTAAGGTATGCCAAGATGTTCAGAAAGCTTTGAAACGTGAAGATATGAAAAAAATTTCATTTTTCATTCTTTGTGGGATTTAAATGTCCGCGAGTAAAAAGATTCACCATCATTATCTCAGAAACAATTAAAGTAGAAGATCTTGGAGCTGATTGTAACCGTTTCTTTTTAAGTAATAGATCTTGAAATCCACTGTCACATAGTCCTTTTTACTCTATAACCGGCGTTAAACAGGACGGTCAGAGGGCAAACAGGTCCATTGTCTTAGTTTTAATTTTGTGAGAATTTTACGAAATATTAGCTACAACATTCAACCAATGCACTATTTACATTTTTTGCAACAATAGCACTGCGTATAACCTTAATCTGGTATTTCGTCAAAATTGTTTACTTAAACTATTTCTTGTAAAATTCTTTTTTTGACCTGATTTACGTTTTTATTAATTATTTACTATTGTTTACCATTGCCAGAATTGCCCACATGTGAGGATTATATAAAAAATTTGAAGTTCAACTTACTTTGAATTTAATTTTAAAAAATGCATACATTTTTTAAAACATTTATATATACTTAAAAATTATATTAAACTAAACAACAGTGCTCAACCAAAAAATTAATAATGAAAGGAAATACTTTTGTCATGGATTTTCAAACGTGCCCGTTTTAAAGTCATAAGAATGAGCAAGTTTTAAGAATTAAGAAGATGTCTGGTTATAAATCTATTTCACTCTACTGTCAAATATTTTTGTTAAAATACTCTTAGCCCTTTCGACTCGAATGCCGCTCCTGTAGCAAAATTCATATAATTCTCTTAATTCGCGAGAGGAAAGGGTTAACTTTGCTCCAAATTCATTCAAGCATCACTCTACCTTATATGAATTAAAAATATCAGCAAATGCTCAATTTAACTATATGAAATCAATTTTGATAGTTGTGGGTATTGGATTTACAGGAATATTGCTTATTATTTCTCAGAATATTTTGATAATTATTGCGTTTGATTTATAAGTATATTATTACTATTTATATTTTTGAATAATTTAAATACGTTAAATTTCAGAAATTTTTGTTTTTTATACCCTAAATAGAATTTAATTTAAATGATCTACAGAGGCAAAAAATTAACATAACAATAAAACTTATTGCAAAAATGTGACAAAAAATGATAGTTTAGATTCTTTTAATTAATTTGGACAAATACTTATTTATATATAAATGCTTCACTATATGTTCATGTGTTTATAAATTATTGTTAGTTACAATGTACCATTTTATTGCTTTATCCATTGTGCTTCTATCATTTATATATCTACTGCAACTGAAATGTCAATGTCGAATATAAAATAAAATAAAATGACAATAATTACCCATTATAAAAATGCAATTGAGAGAATTTTATATGTTCTTAAATCGTCATTACTATTCTAAATTATGATCGCGTGTCCCATTCCGAATGTTTATTCGTTTCGTCCTTGTTAAATAAATTAGTGCGCGTAGTACTCTACTCATCATAGTACACACTACATATGACGCCGGCGGATGTTGCGAAATCAAAACTATTCCTGTCCCACAAATTTAAATTAATTAGATATTTTGTTAAATGATAGATGATTAGTTAAATAAAAATCATCGTAGGATAATGATTGAGTTCCGTCCATATGTCGTGATAGAATTTATTTGCCTAATATGGTTCAAGAACTACATGGAAATGCTTAGTGCGACGCAGTAAGGAGAGTAATAATTAAATAATTAATATCAATTTTGGATGTCATAGGAACAATGTATTTTAAATTTCAACTCTTAATTACAAATTATTATTGCGCATTTTTTTTACAAAATGTAGCATATCCAATTATATAAAAAATTGTCAATCAGAAGGCTATTAATTCCATATGTTACAAAGTATATAACTTCTTATATTCGTGTAATTATGCTAATGTTATACTATTCTACTATTTCTAGTATTTGTTTATTGGCTTGACTGTCTTTCCAAATTAAACATTGAATCAATTTTGAAATAAAACTTTTTTAAGGCGCGACTAGGGTGTAAATTAGAACAGAACAAATGCAACGGAAGTGCGTTACGGTAGAGTCGAGTGCCAATGATTCGTCAATCGCTCTCAATGATATCATTTCTATACGAGTCGATTGTGATTAGTCCTCGCGTGTGTGAATAAAGATCAGTCGTTGTATGAGTATCGACATCAACGTTGTAAGTAAATAATCGCGATCCTCGGAAAGAGATCGCAGGATTATTGCAAGATCGTTCGATTCTAAGTATCGGTCTAATATTGCGTCTTTTCTAAACAAAGCGCAAATTTGTCAGGGGCTTGCTCCGCTTCCGACACAAAATTATAAGGTGAACGTGCCTTTTGCTACTTTCTTTCCAAATTCTGGATCGGAATTGGTAATGGATTGAAAGTAGCACATTAGAAAGTGTTATTCAAAATTTTCTAAAGTACAGTGTTTTATATTTTAATAAATTCAGTGGACATCAAATAAAATCACAAGAATTCCCGGGCGGGAGCCTAGGAAAATGTCGCAAGACATGGATGTCTTGACGAGCACCGTCCTCAAAAATAAGTACCAGGCGTTATCGGACCGCAGTGAAATGGACACGGATCGAGAGATAGACGAGTACCGGGTAGTGAAACGCAAGAAGCGACTAAGGCAAAACAACGTTGAAAATGCGACAGGAAACCAGAACGCAACTACTCAGAAGCCATCTACATCGAAAACAGAGCAACTAGGAGCCAAGAACACCACCGCACCGCAGTCAAGGATACCACCTATCATCGTCAAAGGCCAGCTAGACTTGAAAGTGATCAAATATATCAAAGATACGACGAAAATAATATTCAGGACCCAATATTTAAAGCCACAATTGCACAAAATATATGCCGATACGATTGCAGAACATGAAAAACTGAAAACCATACTAAGGGATTGTGATTTCCAATTTTACACCTATACTATGCAGCACGACATCCCTAAGAAAATCACTATCACTGGCCTAAATCCAGACATGACTGAAACGGTGGTTCTAGAAGAGCTGAAAGCCAAGGGCATTAAGGTAAAGCAGGTGGTCCAAATTAAGAAGAAGGAATCGGACGGCAGTCAGCGCAAACTCCCTATATATATTGTCCTTCTAGATAAGGAACAAGAGATGGCCAAACTGAAGGAAATAAACAATATAGAAGGGCATATATTCAAATGGGAGAGTTACAGGCCACTAAATAAGACTATACAGTGCCACAAGTGCCTGAACTTCGGCCATACCTCGTATACGTGCGACATGCGGTATAGATGCATAAAATGCACGAACGTGCACCCACCGGGAGTGTGCACGAAGCCACCAACCGAGGACCCGAAATGCGTGAACTGCCAAGAAAACCACCCGGCTAACTACTCACAATGCCCAGCTCTAATTAACTATAGAGCAAAAAGGGATAAAGATGCGCAAAAAAGACACCAAACATACAGGCCAGCGCCAACACCGCGCCGCTGACGAGGAGCTTCTCGTCAGCTTTAAAACCCACCAACGATGGCCATAACAACAGATCTGCGTTTCCTGAACTCCCGGTACCATCATCACCACGTATACCGCCGGCCTCCCAGTATCCATCGCCGAAGATCCAGCCAGCACCAGAACCGATCCGGCCAGCATCCTCACGAATCCGGCCTACCACCAGCCAGTCCGATCCAGACCTGAGTACACCAGAGGGACTATTT